ACAATGTTTTCCGAAAAAACGGACATTTGCAGAGACAGTTGGAATTTCTCAGAAGTTTTCAGCACCAAACAAGGTGGGTAGTCTGAGTCTTCTGGGGCTATAAATTGGCTACGTATTAACTTATTCCTGTTTTTATTTGTGAAAATAGTATGCGGTCTCAATAATTTGGAGTTTGATAAGTTTTGATTTGTACGTATTAATTTTTTTTTCACACTATGGAAATAATGTTTTTAAAATAAGAACTCAGTATTTATTTAAAGCAGCTTCGATCTTCTGCTCTGTGCTATTTGTTTTTGATTAACAGGAGAATGTCTGCTCATTGAATGCCCCTAATGTATGTCCCATGAAATAGATCAGTGAAATCGTGTTTGGCATCATGTTTTTTAGCACAGAAATATTGTGCGGTACCCTAAATACCACTTAAGTTCTAATTCAACGCTGTTTTATGTATCTGTCAAATTTGGCACGTTATTTTATGGGTATTCGGTACAATTTCGTTATCGTTGTACTGCTGATATATCGACAATCAAACGCTAGATAAATTTCACTGTAGATTAAATATGTGATACACGTTCCAATTTTTTGGACTTGGGTAAGTCTACCTCATTTTCTTGAATACGGATATGAAGCTGTCCATTTTATGCATTTGTTTCTGCCGTATTTGGTGGTATTTATGTAATGTAGTGACGTATTTAATTTTGAGCAAAATCATTTATGTCTGATGAATGATTTCTTGATATAGTCTGCGAACCTGGTTTTTATATAGCAATTAAAGACACTGGAAAATATTTAAAATAATGTGGTAATGTTGAAATGAGATCCTGGCTTTTTTCTGATAATTTAAGCTTGCTAATGGGTGGTTTCACGATTTTTGCGTTTTAGTCATAGTTACTGATAAAAAACAAATCAGTTTGAAAAAGGGCGAATTTCTACCATTTTTTTCTTTATTTGAATAATTACGCACAATATTTCCTTTGCCTTCATTATGGACGGTCAAGTTTAAAGGAAAGGACGAATGTTGCCTTTAATGCTTAGGCAATTAAAATTCTTTTTGTTTTTTGTTATAGAAAAAACACTTTTCTCTAATTTGTTTTTAAAGTTGCTGCACTTTGTTTAAACTGACAGTTGTGTGTTTTCGTGGTTTGATTTCCGTCGTGAGTCTTTGCTTCTTTTGTCGACGTTTTTTTCCTGTAGATGGGTCGAGTTATCCGAGGTCAGCGTAAGGGAGCCGGAAGCGTTTTCCGAGCCCACGTGAAGCACAGGAAAGGACCTGCAAAATTGAGGCCTGTTGATTATGCTGAGAGACATGGTTATATCCGAGGCGTTGTGCGTGAAATTGTCCATGACCCTGGTCGTGGTGCCCCTCTTGCTCGAGTTGATTTCCGTGATATGTATTCGTACAAGCACATTAAGCAGCTTTTTATTGCTGCAGAGGGCATGCACACTGGACAGTTCGTATACTGTGGGAAGAAGGCTTCCCTCCAGGTTTGTTATATGGTTATGGTATAGTCCCTAGATTGGGAACATTCTTCCCATTGGTGCCATGCCCGAAGGTACTGTAATCTGCAACGTCGAAGAGAAGAACGGCGACAGAGGTAGACTTGCTCGTGCTGGTGGAACTTACGCTACGATCGTTTCTCACAACCACGACACCAAAAGGACTCGCGTCAAGCTCCCTTCTGGCGCGAAGAAAATACTTTCCTCGGGATGTCGTGCAATGGTTGGTCTTGTTGCCGGAGGAGGTCGTATTGACAAGCCCATTCTTAAGGCTGGCCGGGCTTACCATAAATACAAAGCTAAGCGTAATTGCTGGCCTCATGTTCGCGGTGTTTGTATGAATGTAAGTTTCTCACATTGGTTTGCATTATGCTTTAATGAGTTGGTTTTACTTTTGGTATTATGCATTGTAGCCCGTCGAGCATCCTCACGGCGGTGGTAACCACCAGCACATCGGTAAACCTTCGACCATTCGTAGGGACGCATCCCATGGTCGGAAGGTCGGTCTTATTGCTGCCCGACGAACTGGTCGCATTCGTGGAACGCGTGTCATTGTTGCAAAGTCCGACAAGGAATAATTCAATAAAGGTTTGAGCGGAATTAGCCTCTTTGATATGCTTTTTGTTTTGGGTAAATATTTCTGACCGCTTTTGGTTTCCTAGCACGAGTTGAAGACAGCTCAGTAAAGTTGAATAGTTTTGCATAGGTTGCCTGTAGTACATTTTTAGCCACGAATTCAGTCTAGCAGATTACGCTCTCAATCGCTGGTTTAAAGCGCTCTTCTCTTGTAATGTGTCGGTGTCATCACTTGTGTTTGATGAGTGATAATGCGTGGTAATGCAGTCGAGGTTCTTTTTCGATTTATGCCATTCAGTTAGTGTAAACGTCAGTCTATATGGTTTTAATGGGGGGCCTCCGTCAAACAGTAACTTCGCAATTATCAGGATTTAAATGCAGCTCCGAACTAAATAGCAACAACAAATTAGATAATTTCTAACATCGGTGTGTCCGTAGAGCTAATGCTGCAGATTGTATCTTATTTTGCCATCAAGCACACGACAATCCGTAATAGGCAGAGAAGGAAGCGGAATTAATCCACGGAGAACATAATATGCACGACATTTTATGACGAATGTATTAATTAGAAGTTCCAATTATGGATTGAACCTTGAATATTTAACGGCTAACTTCATCGTGAACCGATAACTGAGAATTCTGGAGGGCTTACAAACTCGATACCGATTCAGGAGCGGGGGATTTCGACGACCATGGGATCGGTATCGTCGGTGACCTAATCATAACTCATGAATGGCATTTTGCTGGTGATTGAGACGACAGTAGCACTGGCACCCAATTAGGTCATGCAGTGTCTTTTCGTAGTTACTCAAATTGTGGAGGCTAGAAAGCTCCCGTTGCAGCGTCGTTTTACACAGCCGTGCGAATGGATGTACACCAGTGTGAGTTGTTTTTAAAGTGTGCGTGATGCTAGCACACACCAGT